CTTTCTTTTTGCAATAACAAAAGCAAACAGAATCAATTCGGGGAACTCCCTTTTTAAATTTTACGTTACGATAGTCAGAGGGAGACAAATATATGAGACGAAAAGGTTACATGCGGACAGGTGATGCCAGACTTAAAACGCTAAAATTATAAAATCCGAAAAAACTAAAAGGGCAAGGGCCATTAAATATTTTATATTTTGATATACATACATGCCTTTTACTTAATAATAACAAAAATAATGCTTGAAAAAATTTTGTCCTACTTGACGATATCTGGCCAGTGGTCGATTTTTCGACCACCGAAGAGTATGTAGTTTTAAAAGTTAAAAAACTTGTAATATTGAGATGAGTTTCTTTTGATTGTTAAAATCTTATCTCTTGTCTTCGTATACAACTAAAAATAAAAATATTTTTTTTTGTTTTCCCAATTTTTTTAAATTAAACAAAAACACTTTAAAAAATTAATTTTTTATGATTCTACCAAATTTTTCATTTAATGTTTTAACTGAAAAAAACTATCCTTTATGTTTTAATAAAATTCAGAATTTAATTTTTCTGAAAACAAATCATGAAAATAGCACTTAGTTTCAGAAATATGGACCTCCAAAGTTGATGGTCGAAAAATCGACCAGCGGCCCAATATGAGTTTTTTATTTTATTTTATTAAAGCTTACATAATAAACAAATTATTAAATAAACTAAAGTACGCAGCGCTAGCATCAAAGGCTTTCGGCTGAGCCAATATGAGTTAAATGTTAATTTTGTTGCTGGCGGTGTTTCCAATAGCTGTGTTGCATTATCTGGGTTAAAATAAACCCTTTGACCATTCTCCAAATTAACTGCGAGACGCACAAAAGCCGGAAATCGTTCATGAATTGCAAAAGAAAATATCCTACAAAGCGCTTTATTACAGTTCTCGTATTGACCGTATCGTTCAAGACCAATAACCGCTATGTTGCTTCCTTCGATGACGTAATTATAAAAGTATTTAATTGATTACACCAAATTGCAATACTCAAAATTGAAATGTGTTTTGAATGTGAATTAGATAATAATGGTGAATCTAGTACGATTAATGTGTTGTCAACTGCAACAGTTATGTGTGGAACACAATGCTCGCGACAGACTGCAGCAGCACGACAGTGAACTGAAAATGGCGTTGTGAATCCTACTACATAAACATTTGTGAGAGGGCAGCAACATAACAATGGCCGGCACGTACACAACGCAGTTGTCCATTTTGCATGCACACAATTTCGTTGTGGCCATACTAATACCTTGAAACTTCAATGAAATTTTAATATTTTGTTCAAAGTGAAGTTTTTAAGTAAAAAATAAGTAAATTTATTTGTTTTAAATTATCCATTGTTATTATAAATGATGTAACAGAGCTTTTTTATGCTTTAATTTGTAAAATAACGTCAGGTTTGTTAGAGCTCTGAGTAATTTCACATTTTACATATTAGTGGCATCAGCACTCTACCTTATCTCTCTGTCTTCCATTCTACTGTCAACTCTACTGTCGTTGGCAAATACAGTAGAATCCGTTTATTATGACATCGAAGGGAATTGACAAACACGTCATAATAAGCGGACGTCATACAAAGCGTTTTGTGAAATGAAACATTTTTTATGTAAATATGTATGTACTTAAGTATTTTAATACAGAAACATGGTAATTAAATATGTATACATACATATTAAATC